TCAGCCAGACAGACCGTGTAAAACTATTCATAGAAATTCACTGCCTGTATAATAAATAGTTACTGAACAAGCTGATGCCGAAGCAGTACTCATATATATATATGCCTGCTGTATGTGCTTACCATTAACAACAAAACATATGACATCACCTTGAAAGATTTGTAGACAAATATGTATCTTTTTAAAATAAAAAATATCAGTTGCACATATATCAGGATCATTCCATGGTTTAACCCCAACAATCGAAATACACCTGTGCTTAATCTTTTTGTTAAAGAAGTTACAAAAATGAAAAAAAAAAAACAACTTTGTGCACAGTTTTGGAGTAGCATACCCTCCGTTTAAAAACTGTGGGCTGATCGACCTAAAAACAACAATAAATTCATTAGTTAGATTACAAAAAAGAGCAATACGGGTCATTAACAATGCAGGGCACTATGATCACACAGTCTGACACTGTATGATCTACTTTATCTTAAAATAGTTTTTAAAGCTAATTAAAATAATAATTATACATTAACTTCATTATCACCGCCACGGAGCAGCCATTCCATATGGTAGTCTGATTTAATGCCACCTGTTGAAGGGTAGTTTGTGCAGCCAGCATGCCACTGCTAAAAACAAATGCCTGCCCTTGATTACATTTTGAGTAGGTGAAAATTGCTCCTATTTAAATCTCAGGCCTGTCGTTTTTTTAAATGTCAGAGCAACAGCAGCTTTAACCCCGAGCTGTTAGCAGATATCCTGCAAATGGATTCTTCCGCCGCCATCACCATTGTTTGCTCTAGCATCAATCAGACTCCTGCAATTACTGGCGGCTGTCTCTCATTTTCAATGCACTCAGCTGTTGACAGAACGGACTGGTGATGTTAAAGGCTGTCTTTCAGCTCCGCAAAGCCACACCCACTGAATCAGCTGGGTGCGTCTGCCTCTAGAAGGGCCAAAGCGCAAAGACGTTGCACTTTATTCACTTTATTGGCTACTTCTTTCAGTTTTCCTCTGCATTGGGAAGCTTTTTAATTCATATCAGACAACAAAGATGAGAATCAGAGGTCCTAAAATACATAAATAAATAAATACATTTTGATCAATACCTAAATGTTAAAGAAAATATTCTAAATTAAGGCATTAGATGTGCTGGGATCCTAAAAACAAACCAAAGAAAATTGAATTTTTATTTCAAATGTAAACTAAAACATTCCCATGGAAAGAAAAGAAATGATGAGAGTTTAATCTTATCACAATAAGAGTGGGAAGGGGAAAAGATACCAAACACTCCCCCTGACGCTGTGAGAAGCGGTCCTGCTCTCCCAGACGCGCAGTTAGTCAGAGCGCACCGCGGAGCGCGCAGATCCGGACGCACCTGAGCAGACGGAGCTCAGCGGCGTGGCCGTCAGAGAGCTGCACATAGCTCTTCACCTGTTCTGAGCCACACGCACACAAACACACACACGCACACGCTTCTCCGCAACATCTGCCACGTCGCCTCTGATGATGAAGAGACGGGGACAGCCCGGACGGAGTCTTCGCGGGTGTGGAACATTTCTGCGTCCTCTGGCGTCTCCGCTGGACCACATGATTGAATTTTAACGCAGATCGTTTTCGATCGTTCAAACCGGTGACTTTGAGAAGCCTTGAAACTCCGGTGCGGGCTGTGTGTGAAGCTCGGTGCTTCGTTCTCACTACAATGTCCCAGACCATCTGCGTGGGAAACTTACAGGCATGCTGCACGCGGAGGGGCGCGTACGTGCGAGCGGGCTGAAACAGATGGACGCAAGCCCAGCGACACACCGGGTAAGTCTGACAACTGCAAAACATCACATTACAGGTTGTTTTTTTGTTTTGTTTTTATTTGTTGCTTCGGTAGAGACAGCATAGTCAGTCTTAGACATGCAAGCGCCCAAATATTGACTGAAGAATAAGAGAGGCACTGCCGGCTTTTCCTCTTTTAAACTCACAAATATGACAAACTTCCTCCATTTCACTGGACTATCCCATTAATTATTCTATAGGGAGCAGTAAAGTGGCTACAGAGGATACTAGGTCCAACGAATACATTCATAATATCCTCCAATTTTTTTCTCCATTAGATTATAATTTCTGTAATGTTCCCGAAGGGACTTCCAGAAGTGTCCTTAAGGTGCTTAGTTGCATCTCTTCCTGTTATGCTATTATTAGGTAATTCCTTTAGGGAGCACGGGGAGTACTACGGCCTGCTTTCTTTAATTTAAATATGTTTTCATGCATATTAAATAGTCACCTTGCCTTTAAGGAGACTCTTCCCAGCAGCCTCCTGCTTTAAATGTGCCCTAGAGCAGGGTTAACGAGCACCAAACCTTGACCTGTCATCTCAAGAGGAAGAGTATTTGATTTTTCTGTCAATATTTGAGCAATGGAGTTGCACCGTGACTAGAAGAGAAGCTTTAAAAAAAAAAGAAGCACCCCCATTCTTTTTTTCCTCATTTTTCCTGTATGGATTGCCTGTATAAACATGCCAGCACCTCCTCCTGCTGGGATCATTAACTCGCTGGTATCTATAAAGGGATGCAAATGTTTCTTTCCCCTGAAATGTAAATCTGTGTTTTAAAGCACGCCCCACCCTTCCTGTGCGGTGGGGAACATGGCTATTGTCTTGCCTATTAAAAATATGTTGGTTTATCAAGTTTGCCCTGAAAGCAAACAGTTCCACCAACTTATTTCCCTCATTAGCCTTCCTCCTCCTCCTCCTCCAGCTGAAGGTTGAGCTAACAGAAGGAGCAGAGAAGCCTGCAGATTCTTGGGACATAATAGATGGAAGGTAGAAAGCTGCTGCTCTGTTTGTGTTCTTTGTGAAGGAACATAATGGGAATATTCATTATGTGGAACTAGGCAGCTTCCCCCCCCCCATGTCTGTTCCCTAAACTCCATCTCCATCCTAACTGGCTCTACCATCAAATAGATACTTTCCATTGCAGCAATTTATTCAACCCATTATCTTCCCCTCCCTATCTCATGCTTCGAGAAATCCAGTCCTTTGAATCAGCTGATTGACACGGAGTGTCGGGCTCAAAGGGAAGGTTTCATTTTCAAATTGAAACGGTCACGTACTTATCAAACTTCTATAAAAAGTAGTAATGATGTAAAATTTGAGAGGATTTGGACGGACTTGTATGAAAGCAACTGGAGCAACTTTTTTTTAAAAGAGAAAATCAGACCCATGATTGATTCC